TTCCCTGCTAGCACTTAAAGCTGGTGTAACTTGGTATTACAGAAGGTTTTAGAGTGGTTCAGAAAAAGGGGAGTTGTCCTTGGACTTGCAAATGGGGAATCTGTGCAGTTGTTACAAAGATGAGAGTTCCATAGGAGTTGGTGTTACTTAGCTTTTACTTTAAATATAACCATGTGTGCATACTCTCACAACCTTACCTGTTATTGCCTGAAGCTTGGCTGAAAAATGATGAAGGAATGGGCTAGGTGAATTATAGTACCAGAGGCGTGCACGGTGTTGCTGCAAACATCAGTATTAGGCCTTCTGTCATGAACGTAAAAATAGTGTTGTCATTGTACCCTGTGGTATTAAGATTAAGTATATATTTCAGCTGAGTGGCATCAAACAGGCTAAACCACTGCTGTGCGAAGGACCAGTCCGCCACGCAGTATGTGCAAGCTTCTTGTGTTGAAGTGATTGTGACCCGAAGGAGTGGTCCCCAAGCTGTTGCTTGTGATGACTTGGGATGCTGCTGTTAGACATAGACAATTGTTAGGCAGTTTTCTGTGGAAGAAAAAAAAACAACCATGGAGTGGGAAATGTTCTGTTCTAAATAAAGGAATTCATCCGGCTTTTTGTAGCTTAAGCCAGTTTTGGTAGCGGTTGCTGTATTTGAGGAAATTATTTCTTTATCATGCCCTTACTGTTAAATTTGTTTCAGGCCAGTCAGAATGATTCTTTTTACTCACTGGCTTGGGTTTTTTTTTTTTTTTAATTCTACTTTTCCTTTCAGTGCCCTAATGTTTTAAAATATTTAATATACAAGAGATTTTCTGTCTTCTAGAATAAACGGCCTGAAGGGAAGAGGAATTTCTGAAACTATCCTATTTGAATGTACAAGAAGAAAATCCGGTGTGCAGCCAAGCTGTTTATCTGATTGCATACCACTGAAGTGCACTTCGTTGAGCCCTGCTTCTGCACAGGCCACTGAAGTGATCTGCCAGTGATTTGTGTAGCTGATACGTGTTTCCAAGTCATGCTCACTTACAAAACAACCCAGGTCTTCACATTACTGGGGGAGTATAAATGATTCCACGGTTCATAGAGTGGTTTGGTGTATAGAAAATTTACAGGAATATATGTAAACATTTTTTTTTTCTTGGTTCACGCACAGATTGCCTCTACAGGTTTTATGTATATTTTCTTCTTAGCTACTCAGGGGAGCACTGTTTTGTGCTTTAGGAGGGAAGGGGTTCTCAGGAGAAGGAAGCTCTTTGAGGCTGACATGCCGTGGTAAGAGCCATGGCAGAGCCAAAGGTTCTGCAAATTGCTAACAATGTGTGGGTATTCATGTTAATTTTTAATACACAAGTGTGTGAGAAGTTTTTTTCTTTTCTTTTTCATGCAGGTCAACTTTGTAGTGTGCCAACTGTTTGCCTTGCTTGCGGCTATTTGGTTTCGAACATACCTTCATTCAAGCAAAACTAGCCCATTTATAAGACATGTTGTTGCAACCCTCTTGGGCCTTTATCTTGCACTTTTTTGTTTTGGATGGTAAGTTGCACTTAAATTCACTTTTCAGGGATTTGTAGATTTTCATTTCTTCTTTGCAGGGAAGCAAAGTTTTGTTATGAAGAACCTTATCACCTAATTCTATGGTTTTTAGCTGCTGCAAACGTATAGAAATTGGCTTAAATTTTCTGATGCGGTGCACAAATTTTGAAAGATCTTCCATTTGCAAACTGAAAACCACAGGCAGACAGTATGTTAAGTTTTGGGAGGATGGAGCAGGTGCAGTTTGTTTAACTTGTACCAGTTTTCCTGTAAACTTGCTCGAGAAGTATTCTCTTGAGGCACAGCACAGGTGTGATGACTAAGATAATTTCTCTTAAATATTCACTGCATGAGAACTTGCTGTGTCTTTTTCTGAATAGTGAATATAATCTGACTTTCTGTAGGAAGAGTGAGTGGCCTGAACTGCAATACTGATGATGCTCCTAATAGTATAAAACACCTGGAAAGGAGCTGGCCTCGATTTGAGAGTTTTTGGTGTGTGCTTGTTTTTCTTTTATGTTTTAGAGGGAGGGTGTGGTTTGTGGTTGGTTGGGTTTTTTGGTTATTTTTTTTAAACACAAATTTTCTGACTGCTGTTTTCACATCTTGATCTTTTCACAGTGTAGCAAGCCAGAATGTTAGTAGGGCTAATAAAGGGTATGCATTTAGTTTGGTGAAAATTTTTTTCCTTCAAAATTAGCTTACTAAATGGCTCTCATCTTCCCAAGCTGGCTTAAGATTAATTAAGTGCCAGTTCTGTTTCATCGCATGGTAAACAAAGTGCTTGCTCAGCTTTAAGTATATAGAAGACTTTTGCAGAGTATTACTGAACTAGGAGGAATTAATCAAGCTGCTGTGCAGGTGGGAAGATGCACACAGTGTGTGCACACATGCGTCTGTACGCACACAGAGTGTGTATAAATAGATTTTGGAATTCCACGCCACGAGTTTGGCTTCTACATTGGCATGTTGCAGAGGCTTCTCAACATTAGTTGATATGTATTACTTCTGAATTTATGAAAAGAAAAATCAGTAAGTTTTATTCTTTGGATTTACATGTGCAATTTACTTGTATGTATAATTCCATAATTCCCATGCATTTCTCTTTGAGAGAATGATCTGATGCCAAAGACTTCCAGTCTTAGCACCAAACGAGGAGGAAGATCTGGGAGATAGGTGCTCCTGTGTGTGGTTTTTGGGAGAGCTGTGTAAGCTTTGGAAGCACATTTTGTATCCATTGCTTTGGAAACAGAAATCATTAACTGTAGCTTGTAATTAGAAAGTGTTAACAATATATTCATATCTGAAATTTGGGGATGGGAGACTTTAGAAGGAAATAACCTCCATCCCCAAGAGACATAAATAAAGATTTGTGGAAGTCTCTCGTTGGCAATATGCCCTGGAGAAGAACTCAAGAGAGAAATCTTACGCTATAGTAGAAATTCCAGATTATTCTAGTTTGCTTTGGATCATACTTAAAGCAATTATTTTAGCAATTAATTTCTGTTTTACGAAAAGGTTTTTTCTTAAAATCATGGAACTAAAAGCTTTTTAAAAATGCCAAAAAGAAACATAATTTAAGATGTTAAAAGTACATATTCTTTAAAAATCATAAAATCATAGAATGTCCTGAGTTGGAAGGGACCCACAAGGATCATCGAGTCCAACTCCTGTCCCTGCATAGGACAACCCCAAAAATCACACCATATGGCTGAGGGCGTTGTCCAAATGCTTCTTGAATGTTGTCAGGCTTGGCACCGTGACTGCCTCCCTGGGGAGCCTGTCCCAGTGCTCCACCACCCTCTGGGTGAAGAGCCTTTTCCTAATGTCCAACCTGAACCTCCCCTGGCATATCTTCCTGCCGTTCCCTCGGGTTCTGTCATTGGTCGCCAGAGAGAAGAGATCAGCGCCTGCCCCTCCTCTTCCCCTTGTGAGGAAGCTGTAGACCGCGATGAGGTCTCCTCTCAGTCTCTTCTTCTCCAGGCTGAACAGACCAAGGGACTTCAGCCACTCCTCATACGGCTTCCCGTCTAAACCCTTCACCATCTTTGTGGCTCTCCTCTGGACACTCTCTAGTAGCTTTGTATCCTTTTTGTACTGCGGTGCCCAAAACTGCACACAGTACTCAAGTTGGGGCTGCACCAGTGCAGAGTAGAGCTTGATGCACCCCAGGGCACGGTTGGCCCTCCTGGCTGCCAGAGCACACTGTTGGCTCATGTTCAACTTGCCATCGACCAGAACCCCCAGATCCCTCTCCATGGGGCTGCTCTCCAGGCTCTCGTTCCCCAGTCTGTATGTACATCCAGGGCTGCCGTGTCCCAGGTGCAAAATCCGGCGATACTTCTGTTGCACTTGTGCCAACTCTTTTTTCCTATTGCTTAACTATGTATTATACAAGCATGTTTTTTGAGGGTTTTGTTCTGTTTGGTTCCCCTCACCCCTCCCCAAGGAATCAAGTATAAATATAGGTTACAATCCCATGGTACACCTTCAGCGACTCTTCAGTTGTGTCATAATGTGTGTGTACAGGAGGGAAACTGTTCCTGTTTTCTTATATAGTGATTATAATAAATATAAATTTGCAGAAAATCTCATGCAAACCTAAATGTGGGAAATAGTTTGGAATCTGCACCCTTTTAAGGATATTTATTAGTCATTATGTTGTCCTCTTCAATTTCAGGTATGTTAGTTTTCAGTCACCTTTGTAGTGCTTGTGATGGTGATGTGGGACAGGAAGAGAAGGGATAATTCCCTTGGGATAATAGCAAATAGCGTAAAAGACCTAGAATACCCTTTGTATGTAGCTAAAATGTACTACTTCATGTTGTATTTAAATGCTTCCCTTTTAATTTTTGAATTGGAGATCAATCATGTTGCTACTGTTAACAACTCTGAAAGAAATATTTTCAGAGACTGTAATCATGATATGATACTCCATGTCAACCCAATTTTTTTCAGGCTTTGATATCTCATTATGTCCCTTTCTCTGTTTAAGAAGCAAACCTCTTAAACTTAAATTTTTGTCATTTCACTAATGCCTGTTTTTACTACACAGTGTTGCTAATATGTGGCTGATATGAAAAGAAAGTGAATTTTTTTTTTAATTGGCAATTGCTTATATTAAATGTGCATTTGAATTTTAGGTAGTCATATCTTAGATGAGACTAGCTAGTAGTGAAGCATGGGAGTGTGTGCAGATTGGATCCTCTAAAAAGTCATGATTTTCAAGGTCCGTTAATATCCAAGTGAATTGTTTTCCCTCAGTTCGTGTGTAGATTTTGTAGAATTTAGCTGGATAGAACAGGGTTTCTTGTTGAAAGTCTTTGAAGACATTTCCTTATGAACAGATGAGGAGTGAGATTAGGAAATTGGTGATGATAAACTGAAAGAAAACAGTATCAGCAGCATAACAAAACAGTAGCTGCTTTTTAGGCTGCTTTTTATGGGAAAAATTCCCAAACTAGATCAGTGTGTTACTTGAGCACATGTAAGTATGCTACTGAGGCACTTAAAGTACCAGAGTGAAAGAGAATCAACTTACTGAAGATCAGATGCTTTTCTCCAGTCACTCGCAATGGCTGGCCACCAGTGCTCTACTAGCTTACTGAAATATAACTCCTTTAAAAAACAAAACAAACGCCCAAAAACCCAAAACAATGGTGGTGTGGTAGCTATGGTGGTAAGCTGTGGAAAACTAATAAGGAGAAGAGATTAGAGCTCCTTTGTGAAATAAATCTGGGGGTTGTTGGTGTGTAGGTTTTTTGTTTGTGTTTTTGAGACCATCATCACCACCATCCCTTTATCAGCTACTGATGACCCAGGGCAAAGAGACTGGCTGAACAGGGTTACTGTTTCTGTTGACTGGGAAATCTTCCCATTTACTGGTATTGTGGATACTAAGATATTGTTGCCCTTCTCTGAGATACCTGTTGTTGCAAACAGGTAAAAAGATGAGTATAGAAATTGTACCACAGAACAGTCATGCTATTTACACATGAAACAATGCCAAGTGGAAATATTATGAGACATATTCTTTGTATTTTAAGGATTATCAGCATTTACTGTATTCTTGTCTATGAGCTGGAGAATTCTAGCTAAGTCTGTAGCTTTTGTTCATTACTGCTGTCTGTGCTATGCTAAAGGGGGAAGCTCTCAACAGAAGGGACAGCGGCAGAAAACCTAAATAGAACAAAAGGTTTTTTTGGAAGCAGTGATAGAGTTAAAATTTGACAAATCTCTTTAATTTTCTGTTAAATAAATAAATGCATGCAGTTTATTGTCGTTAATGAAAATGCCATGAGAGTTCACTATTTTTTTTTTCTTCTTCCTAGGTATGCCTTACATTTTGTTATACAAAGTGGAATTTCCTACTATATCATGATCATAATAGGAGTGGAAAATATGCACAAGTAAGTTTCCATTCTAAAGTATTTTTTTTTCTTTTACAAGAATGCTACTGTTTAGGGTTTTTTTTTTTAACTGCACATATGCCATACTTCTGGTTGTATCATAATATTTCAGTATTTGAATTCTGCTAACCATGGTTTTATTTCCAGGAGAGAAAATGGCTTATTTGGGTATTTTTGCCAGCTTTTTGGAGTATCTAAAGCTTGTTACAATTGGTAATATTCCACTGAGACTTCTTTTGTGTTTTCAGCATTCTGATTTTTTTTTTGTCATTACTTAATCATAAATAATTCTAGGTGTCTCACAAATGAGTTAACTATACAAATGTAATTTGATAACAGCCAGTGCTAGTAGGAGGAAGATGTCTGAAGGGAACAGAATTTGTGTGACAAATTTTTTTAGTTACTGTTTTTAATTTCCTCTTTTGTTTTGTAAGAATAACATAGTGTGAATGCTGTCTTAGGTAAAGAATACTATTGTGAAATTACATAGGTAGGGCATTATTTTAAGTTTGCTTGAATGCATGATGAGACTAGCAGTATCTGAATCCATATAGAATGGCGCTTGTTTCTCTTTTTCAATTATTCTTAAAAGCAGGAGAGACATTTATTTTATTACTGTATGCATATGTTTTACTATTCCACTAGTCTAGAAATCAGAACCAAATTAGGTTCCCACTGTGTTAATTCCTGCATAAATGTTTAGTAAAATAGCAAATCCTTGCTTGAATATGTTCCTGAAGTATGTGAGGCTGTCAGGAAAGATGCTGGTAAAAGAACCAAAAAGGGGAATTGTTTTACACAGAAAGTGCAAAGCCAGGGTGGCCTTAGTTCATGATCTTGCCTACTAGAACGCTCTGCTTCTTTATAGTCTGCTATTGGATATAATTTTATTGTCTTTTGAAATATGCCATATTAGGCTCTTGTTTGCAGGATTTTCTACAAAGCCTGATACATCCAAACTACTGCAGGTGTGAGAGAACTTCATTTGGTTGATGGCTGGTTTATATTCTAATGGTTTATTTGATTAGAAGTTGTTTTAAAGCAACTCTTTCATATCAATTTGTCTTTAGACATGTAACAAAGTAGGTTATAACTTATGTAGCTTAATATTTTAAAATTAATTATTAATGCAGTTAAATGCTGCAAAGGGAGGTACCAGGCAGGAATACTTTCGTCTGTACCATAACAAATTACATAGCTTTCTCGTAAAAGGAAATCTAGCAGTGGTTTGCTTCCCTAATCGTGAGAGGCAGGTAGGCATGTCTGTATTTAACATTCCTGCATTGGTGCAAGAGAACTGGCTAGTTCCCGATCCTCCCCAATGCATACCAGCTGGTTTAACAGCTGCACGGCCTGGTCTGCTGAAATGTTTGCTGTGCTGTACGCAACTGTGTGCGTACGCTCTCTGTTACTCCTAGTTACTGTGCAAGTGGGAGGGCAAAACCTAGGTTTGACTACCGAGTTTATATTGCTCTATCATAGTATGAATTAACATACTGCTGGATAAAACTAGAAAGATCTTTCAGTGGAGGGAAAAAAAAAATGTAACAAATGGAGTAATTTGTTTCTTCAAGTCATCGACAATGCTTGGGTGATGTATGGAACCTCCAGGAGCCATTTCTAATAGGTGATCCAGGCAAGGCTGTACAAGGTTTGCTCCCTCCGTTGCCACAGTATCCCAGAAAGGGCGATGCCTCTTGGTGTCCCTACGTGCCTTCACCTTTTACTGAAGGAATGCACCGCATAACTCTTAATTTTCTGATTTTCTGCTATGAAAATGCCAGTTACAGCCTTCTGTTTGGTAGTCTGAACAGAAACCAGTGTGAATGACTCCCCTCCCCACCTAAATGTTTGTTTTCAGGCTACAAATATGTCTCATGGAGCCCAGGGGAGATTTAAGGTTAAGTGCTGAATAGAAGGGTGCAGCTGGTGCCACCTGGCCTGAGGACTGGAGAAGGGCCCCATCAATGTCTGGCTGTGCGGGTGTGGGTGTGTATATACAGCTGATCAGAGTAGTTATACATACCTGCATAGCCCAAGTTTTGGGATTTACTTTGTGTGGCGTACATTGGCTAGTTAGAGGTTACCTGCATTGTTCATAAGCTTCTTAAACTTGGACATTATAGAACATCAAATACCTATACATGATGTAAAGGTGGATTCAACTGACGTTTGTATTGGAAGAGCACTTGTGTATTGTACAAAATATTTTTGTCTGTTACCTAAATTCATTCACTGGAGTAAGTTTCCCTCTTCTTTTCCCTGCCCTGCCTGCTGTCCTGCGGATTTCGTGAACGTATGTATTGGGAAAACCATTATTCTCTCCTCCTTCCTGTTTCCCCCACCCCCTAATGTAGTTCCTTAGTTTCTCCAGCCTCTCTAAAAATTAAACAAATAAGAGACAACTGAAGTTCTTAGATTGCTTATCAGTTCAGCTGCTATGCAGTGGGTATACCGGCTTTCCTTACCATGTGAAGCAAGGACACTTTTTTGATGAACATCTACATTTTCCAAAGCAGACTTTCACATCTGATACTCTTCTAAACCTCTGTTGCTTTCTTAATGCACTTCCATTGGATCCTAAAAGTCTCTGCTCTACAAGGTTCCTACCTTTGTTATTTTCCAGAGGTAACTGAACCTTGTGCAGCTATTGCTTCTAGGTTGGTCTTGACAATACATGGTATGTTAAAGATGGAAGACTTACTTGAACAACAGAAAAGGGAGGGGAGAAAAAGAAAGCAAAAGGTAAAACACCTGGAGGAAAAAAAAGAGAACTGACCATATTAAAAAGGAAGGAAACCTTACTATTACTTAGTATTTTAGCAGCTTTTAGACTGACGTTAATTAGCAGAAAATGAGTTACCTGAGACTTGGATTTAACTAAAATTGATCAATTATTTTTATACTTATATCTTATTTAAATGATGGTACTTCAAATGAAAGATGGAGTGGTAACACCACTCCTGAATGGTTCAAAAGCTCTTATTTTTTTAATTTGTGACTAAGCCATCGTAATATTTATTTGGTGCTTTCATGGCTTAGTTAATTGTGAAACTGAAAAATGGGTTTAAACAAGTTCTCAATTCCAATAAATTTGCATTTGGTAACTGATATGGTGCTAATATTTATTTTTCTTTTTCTCTTAGAAATTCTTCTTTTTCTTCTATGGTTCTTAAATTGCTCCTTGTCTTAAAAGGCAAAACCCCAAATGCCACAAGGTTTTTCCTTAAAGCATTTGGCTACCATTAGCTAAGAGCTATGTCAGCAGTGCTTGCACAGGTGACTTGATGCCAAGGTTTTTAAGGTTTCTAGGTAACTCTTTCTCTTTTGACTTGATTGTTCATTTTATGGTTGGTAAATAACATCCCTCAGCCTATGGGGAAAGGAAAGTTAATTATGGGGCTCTCAATTGCTTCACTAAAGTCAGTAGTTTTCTCAGTGACTTCACTGACAAAATGCAGAAGTCCCAGCTGTGTCAATGTAGAAAATCTGTTTATTTAAAAGCATTCCTGTTAAACTGTTCACTTAAATGTCTTAAGTGTGCTAATGTAAAATCAAGTAACAGGCATGCTATTCTTGTCTGATATCTTCTGTGTTATGCTTAAAGTGGCAGGATGATACCTTTCTTGTTCTAGCAGTCTAGAGTTGAACTACTAAGACTTAAGGAGTGTATTTCTGGCTTTAGAAAAGGAAAAAATCATTTAACTTTTCTGGCATATTTAAGTTATGAAAAGTAAATTAATGAAGGACCCCGAGACCTGAAATAACTAATAGCAGTAAATAGGTAATGAGCTGATGTGTCTGTGTGCCAGAAGGGCCACAAAGATGATGAAGAGACTGGAGCATCTCTCCTGTGAGGAGAGGCTGAGAGAGCTGGGACTGTTCAGCCTGGAGAGGAGCAGGCTCAGGGGGATCTCATCAATGTGTATAAATACCTGGAGGGAGGTAGCCAGGCTGTCACTGGTGCCCAGTGACAGGACCAGAAGCAATGGGCACAAACTGAAACACAGAAGGTGCTGTCCGAACGTCAGGAAACGCTTTGTTACTGTCAGAGAGGTTGTGGGGTCTCCACCCTTGGAGATATTCAAATGCTGTCTGGACATAGACCTGGGCAGCTGGCTCTGGGTGGCCCTGCTTGAGTAGAGGGGTTGGACCAGATGACCTCCAGAGGTCCCTCCCAACCTCAGCCATTCTGTGGTTCTATTTTATTTTGCACATACAATTCTTTGTACTGTACCTGTGCTCATGTATGTGAGCTGTTTGAACATGGATATTTGAATCTGAGTGAACAAACTTTGGTGGTAACTGGTCTGGCCCCTGTGGAGGTGCTTCCTGGCCATCCCTTTCTTTGGGATTTGGCAATGTTAGTCCTCATTAAGTTCCCTTCCCCCTCCTAGCCAGAGCCAGGACAGAGCAATGCCTTGCTCTGCTCTTCCTTCACTCCTTGGTGTGGCTTTGACAAACAGTGGGAGATTGGGCAAAGGAGGGGTGGAAGAGACTTGATGGTTTGATCTTAGAAATCTCAGATTGAGAGACAAATAAGTCTTGTTCATCTGAGTGAACTAATTCACTCAGCATGTTAATTGAGGCACTTTATTAAACACCTGACTGACAAATTATGCTGAATGTCATGACTTGTTGATAGATAAGTTTGACTGCTAGTTAGCCTATAACTTAGATTGCTGTGAAAATTAAGTTAAATATTTTTTAAAAGTTATGGTTTCAGTGAAATACAAAATGGATCAAGCAAACTACTCTCATCCTGTGAGTTACTGGCAAGGTTTTCATAACCATCTTTGTATCTTCAGAAGTGAGAGCATTCATAAGCTGAAACGATTTTTGAAAATGGGAATTAGCTTGTTTTTGGAACTTTTGTCTCTTCCAAAGGCTCTTCATCAAGATAAATGTAAGTTTGTTGGTTTGGTGTTTTGTTTGGGTTTTTTTTGTTCTTATTTTTAAATTGCTGTCTGCTTTTGATTTGATAACATGTGTCTTAGTCT